AAATGAATGTAGCATAAAAGATAAGCACTTAATACACAATTCAGGAAAAGTGAAATAGTGCCCATACATAACTATACATTTTTATTTGGGAATGTTTCCTCAATTAAATCTGAAGGCTTGTAGAAAATTCTGAACAGCTCCTATTGAAATTAGTGACCAGATTCCAGTTGGACTTGCTCTATCGCAAGGCAGCCACTGATCTCATTCCAGAAAATCAGTCTGTAATCATCCATCTGAAAATTTATGTTTGATGTAAGGCATATTAACTAAATATTTGAATCTGTTAAGTATTAGAACGAAAAGTCTGATGTCTGTATTTTATGTCCCAGCTGTCCTCTCTTTGGAAGAAAGTAGTTTCAGTCATGGATAGTTTTGTTTGAGAAAGGACTATGAGATTTTGACATAGTATAATATATTCTGAGTTGCTTGTTAAATTAAAAAAAAAAAAAAAACAAAACCCAACAAACTTTGGAATGAGACTATTACATTTTACAAAACACTATATCAACAAAGGCAATACAATATTTTAAACAGCCCTATACTCATTTAAACACACTTCAGGAAAAAAATTAATGGTTTTAATATATGGAAAAAATTATTATATTATGGGCACTGGAAATGTAGTCATATTTGTTTCCAAGTGTGTTTATGTTGTTAGATGGAGCCCTGAGAAAGATAGCAAACAGCAATTTATTTTCGGAAGTTATAAAATGCCAAATAAACTAGTTGTCTTTTAAATGCTGTAGTAAAGCGCCCAGAAGGATAAACACTACGACTCTAGGAAAAGAAAAATATGTGTGTAATCATCATGAGAATGCTACTGTTGGAAGGACAGAGCCCTTTATGCTCAAGCTAACTAAACTGGCAAGACAGGAAGAGATGGTCTAAGATGGGTTTAGAAAAAGACCCTTTAGATTAGAGACTTCTGTTCTTAAGTGCATGTTCCACTTGCAGTGCTACTGAAAATGTTTATCATTCCCAAAGATATTTTATTACAAGACCAGTGTTTCATGAGATAAAAATGGAAAATAGTAAGTTGTTTGGTTTTGTGGTGGTTGTTTGTTTGTTTGTTTTTTAATCAGAATGAACAGTCACAAGAATACTACAAATGTAGCAAGGAATGTTCACATATTATTAAAGAAAATCTAATATGCATCACACACAAAATCATTCAAACTACTATTTGCTTAAAGTTAGATATATCAGCACTTTTGCTGAATTAGGTTCATGAACCTAAACCTTCATCCGAAGTGATGAACACAATTAGGCAATCAGAAATACAAATTATATGATTTCGTAATAATGATTTATTATATCTATGTCTTTAGACCATTGGAAATATGCAGAAACTAACAAATGATTCTGGGCATGTAGAGAAATGCGAAGCCTATTAATCTTAGCAGCCTAAAGCTGCAAGTTGAAGCTCTCATCTCTGTGAATTTCAATCTCTCCGTATCATATGATCAAATACACTGTGTTAGCAAGATGTATGTATGTACGTCTGTAGCAAAAGAAAGCCAGTAGAACAATCCCTGAACGCACAATCTGAAGGCAAATATATAATCTGTAAGTTTGAAGTAACAGAAGTTCTTGGGGATTGCTCAGTTTTGCAGGGAAAAAAAAAAAAAGCAATAATTCTGTAATTACACAGTAATTTTTAAGAACATAAATGGATGGTAAATACTCTAAATTTATGTATAACCAAATGATAATTAAGTTTTATATTTGAAAGAGTCATCAAGGAACTGAAGCAGGTAATTAAATTGACTCATCTGCTTTCATCAAATTTGTAAAAGCACATAATAAAGTCAGGCAGAAACATGAGATTGGGGTATACACTGTGTTCCCTGGAAATTGTTGGAGTTATATTGGTTATAAATATATATGTGAAACTATTTAAGTATGTAGGATCCAAAGAACTTTGTATTAGGCAAGTCGATTCATTTCAGTACTGTTAGCCTGGATGACAGTCACTGAAGATCTCTGCCTAGATTCGTACCAGGGACTAACCTATCCCACCTGAAAAGTCATGATACAAGCTGAGTCTGGCACCTACTCACCACAATATTCCTCTCACTCTGAAGAATTAACTGTCTTTTTATCAAAAATCTCTTGTGCAGATGAGTGTAACGGACCAAATTTCCTTTCATTTCACTTTCACATTTCACATTCCCAATCCCTGGGTAGAATTTTTCTCTCCTCTTATGGAGAACTTTTTTTATCTTCCTCTTTGTTGGTAAGTATAACCTACTCCATGGAAAATTTTATGAAATAAAACAAAAATGTGAATATGGAAAGGGAACCGGCTTAAAAGAATGACAGGAAATGAGCCAAATCATTTGACTGTGCATTTCCTTAAGGGAATTTAGAAAAAAAACCCAAAACAAACCAAACAAAAAAGATAGTTGAGACAAAGGAAAAATGGCTAAGTAAGGAGCATAAAAGTTCATAAAACATACTTTTAGCATCCTAAAAACAGATTGAACAAGTATATGAAAAGAGTAGAGGCAGATGAACAGCAAAGCACGCACACAGTCTTTAATCATCTTGTACATTCATCTAAATTCTGAAAGAAACAAGTCTGTCTGAGATATCAAAGTATAAGCTTCAAATATAAGCTTCAAAACACTGGATTTTTTAAATATCATTTTATTTTTTAAGAAATTCTCTCTCCCAACCTATTTTTCCTATTTTCTTCTTAAAATACAGAAATACTCTTAAGATCTACACATTGCGGGGGATGTACAATCAAGCACGTAGTGTGGATAAAGATCAGTTTTGAGAACCTGTACAAGTTCCTATGAGTGAAATAAATCTGATAGACTATGAGTAGAAAGTAGTTCCCCCACTGGTCTTGTACTAGCTTGCACAGCTGTGATTATTATTTTGTTTGAACTCTTTGTCCCCTAAGTACTTATATAAAAAACCAACTCATTAGAAATAACTGTTAGCTAAACTCACAAGAACTCATAGACTACATTACTCTACTCTCTCTGAGCTCTGTGCTTACCACTTGTCAGAGTGATACCACAAAGTTCAAAAGATGCTGAGCTGCGTTAATAAATTATTACAAAGATAATATATTTGATACATACTTGTGTTTCCATCAGGAGCTGATGAGTCTAAACATGACGTATTACTACTGAAGTATTCAAATAACATTGTATAACAAAAACACAACACAAAATATATTAAGGCAACTAGCACACTTTCCTGGAATATAAACTATTTATAGTATCCAGGATTAAAAAACTTAAAAAAAAAAAAAAAAAATTGCCTTTTTAGAAAAGGCTATTTTTTTTTCTTTTCCTTTTTTTTTTCCCCCTCCCCCTGCTTCAAATATGTGCTAATCAGCAGTCTTAGCACTTTGGTCATTTTAGAAAACAGATGGTTGACAGACATTTAAGAGAAGAAAAATACAGAAAGGGAAAGCAGTGTATCTGAAAGTATTTTTCATTTATACCTTCTAGGTACTGTTCATTTATTTACTTTGTAGGCTTTTAATTCCAGAATTTGTTTGATTTTTGCTGGAGCTAAACTTTTTTTAGGAACACTGTAACGATTTCCCCATTCAATTCATTTAATCAAAAGCAATAAACAGATTGATCTGCAAAATACAAACATAACCCAGAAATTACTCATGTGCTCTCTGTTAGCAGAGTCTGTAGCTCAGAGTTAGAAATCTTGTTTGGTAACCGAGGAGACGACCTCAACTCTACACCTTTGACTTTGGATTCACAGAAATGCACTAGAGAAGGATCTGAGACTAACTCCTACATCCTAAGTGAAATCATTTGACTTAACCACAGAGTTGTAAAATTCTCATGTTTTGCATTCCCCCTTTTTTTTTTTTTTCCTGGGGCGCAATATTTAATTAGCTATATGAAGTAGATCAGATTTAGCTGTATCCCAAAGTGCTGACCAAGGAAGCAAGATTTACAGGTCTATATCCCGGCTCCAAACCAGCATGAGACGAGATTTGACAACCTACCCGCTATGTGAAAATGGTGACTATCTGGCTATTGGGAAACAGTGTCTAGCCAGTGCCAACAATGTCTGGTTCCTGCCTGTCCTTTCTGTTATGCTTTATTTGGTAGTCATGATCTGAGGAGGCCCAAGATACTGGATCTGACTGGTGAGATAGGCAGGAGAAAGCCTTGCTGAAAACGCCCCTGGGGTTAGGTGTGGGGATTTGAGTGTCTCAGCACAAGCAGGATGTAGGCAGTTCTGACATGCCCCTTGGCAGAAACTATGTGGACTTAAGCATCACTGGGGCAACTACAGGGTAACAGCAGATAAGTAGGGGTTTTAAGGATTTTAGAAGCAGTTAAACACTGCTGAAAGAGAATGGAAATTAAAAACCTATCTGTGTAAGTTAATTTTTAAAATGAGATTTAGGTGTTTTTGAAAATACCATCCTAATAACTCAAAACTAAATTTAAATACACAGCATAAATGCAACTGCATTTTTTTGTCCTACAATATCATAAAAACTATTTTTTAACAGAATACATGCTCCATTATATATTCCTTTACAGCAGCTTCATGGCAAGGAAACTCCAGCTGAATAAAGCTAATGTAACAGAGCAGAAAATCAAGCTCTCTGTCTAGTTTGGTCTAATCTCTAATTCACATTCCTAAAAAGTTAGAGAGATGCACAGGTGGATCCAAAGATCAGGGGATATCAAATCTCCAGACTTTTGGTCCAAGCCAGTCAGAATGCTCCTGTTTCACTGAGTAACAATACTACAAGGTCTAAACAGTCTGCCCTGATTTAGCAAAGCCAACAATCTTGCACCTATTAGCAGTTAATCCACGAGACTGCCTATGCACTTAAGCACAAGTATACTATTAAGCACATAAATAGACACTGTTTACTTTGCTACAGCATTGCCAGTTTTAACATCTTAAAGGGCTGAACTCTCAAGACAACAAGGTTTACTAATTCTTATAAATATCTGCCAAAATATGACTTTTCATAAATGCGTGACTGTTTTCAGCTATGTTGACAACAGTACCATGTCCCCTGAAGTTATTTCAGAGTCCTGACTGTGTGTGGAGCTGATTCCAGTGTCAGAGTCTGTGTCGTTTATGTCCAGATTAGTCACTCTATGAACAAAGTCAGGAACTGCGATGCTGTTACTGGAGATACCACTGCCCTTGGATGGCTCTTCATTTGATGGAAGCCTAGCTTCAATGTTGTCTTTAACGTGTAGTAAATTAAATTCTTCTGTAAGAAGTTCATATTCTTTTTCCTTCTTTTGAAGCAGTGAGTCCCTGTATGTAAGCTCTTTCTGAACGCAGCTCAGGTATGAATTGATTCTCAGACCATCTTTCATACTTTTTTCCAGCTCATATTTTACACTTTCCAAATTTGAGTTTTCCAGTTGAGTATTAGCAGCTCCTTCTGTACGAACATCATCTCCGCTTCTTTCTGTGCATATACCATGTACCTCTCTTTCAATTTCAGCACACAGCTTCTCTATTAATTGTTTGTGATGTTTCAGTCTCTCTTCAACCTGTAAAATTCCCTCACTTTTGCTCAAATATTCATGCATCTCTTTTTGATCATCTGGCCTACTCCCCTGCTGCTCAGCCTCACTTGGATTGATCATTAAATAGGAGTCCTGCACATAATTTTCTCCATCATTGGCTACACGATCTAGATGGAATTTCGCTTCACATTTTTCAATTTCCATATCTAGTTCCTTCATTCTAAGGACTTGTTGATGAATGGTATGATCTTGAGAAATGATTAAATGAATCAATGTCTCCATATTATCTCTTTCTTGCTGAACGCTGTCCTGTTTAAGTTTGGCCAGTTTCCGGAAAGTCTTCCTGACAATTTTCTTCTGCTTGTCTATTGGCAACATCTTCATGTAATTTGCTGGACTGAGCTCCCACTGTTTTTCTACATTTTGTACTACTTTAGCTTCAGCTGTCTTCCACAATGGAAAGGAGAGGAAAGCATCTGACTTTACCAACACAAAGTGCAAATTAGCCTGCTCTTCCCCCCATGCCTTCCAAAGTCTCAGAATCTTTGTCAAGGGAGGAAGGACTCGCTCCGAGCCTCTCCATTTTTCCACAATGCAGTAATCACTAGGTTTTCCAAAAAGGACCTTTTTCTCTCCAGATGTTGCCTGATGTTCCTCAAGCAGTGCTTGAATCACTTCTGTGCAAGTTGTGCGCTTTGTCAGGCCACATACAATCTTCTCTTCCTGGCAAACCCAAACCACAATCTCTCTTTCATTTGAAGCCATGTCCTTGTTGGGGGACCTGGGAAACAAGAAGAGACAAAATATAAATTACATATCAATGGCACAGACTGTGTGAATAACAACTATAATTCTGATATGACTATAGTATTGAAAAATCCCATATTATTGTACAAGACAATATACTTAAGTTACATGAAGAAATACCTTTGGATTAAGTAACAGAAAAACACACCCATTTCAGCTACTGCTCTAATATTACTACTAGTCCAGCTGAATGTGAATCTCACACAAAATATCTTTTATCAAATTTAGTTTTTGTACCCGTATTAAGTATGTATTGACAATAAGGGATAAAGTTTGGCAATCCGCGTTACATTTCCAGACTGTCCTAACATTACTTTCCAGACATAACTTTCAGATCTGCATATCTGTTCTCATCACACAGACATTGCACAAACATTTATAAGCTCTTAATATCACTGAGGCTTCTGAAGCAAAGAATCATGCCTCCAAATATGCACTGAACATGGTGGACTTTGAAACGCCGCTGAAAATGAATAAAGGTGACTGAACACCATCTAAGTTAAAAGACCTTGATGATAGGATAAATCTATAGCTCTTTTGCCACACCTGCACCCACACAAGCATAAACACCATTGTTTTCCACTGTGATTTTCACTAACAAGTCTCAAGAAATGTATTGCTTTTCCTGAAGTATCAAATAGCCTGGATTCCAGTGAGTTGTGAGAGAATACCAACTATGAAAGAATATGTATATAAGTCATTATTTTATAACCTTTGCAATGATACAGAAATGTCAGGAAATGTAAAAAGTTTTATCATTTCTTTATTTATTAATGAATTCCAATGAATGTGACATTAACCTGGCATTAGCAGCTGGTACCTCCTTACACACTGAGACGCCCGACTTCAGGTGTCTAAGATCCCATTACGGTTACTGTAGCTGTCTCATCAATACAATCAGTGGAGCCTAGAGAGCACTTCAGCAGATCAAATGTAGAAGTTAACTTTTTGTCCCCATCTGTACAGCCCTGGACTGCCATGGGTTACGTTCAATGAGACGAGGCCACGCTGCCAATGTAGGAGTTGTGGCTGAAAGGGGAGGAACCTGTCCAGTATATTCCTGTCCTCTAGCTTCTACATGCACAATTTGCTGCTTGCCCAGACCTGATGATTTGGCCTCTTGCCTAAAATGATAAAACAATAAATTCCCCGAGGAAAAACGCATTTCTTTGGGTTTTCTGGTATCCCTTCCAATTCATTTGAATGGATGAGATTTAACCCAGTCTGACAGAGAAAGCTTGAAAATGAAAATGACAGTTCAGACAATACTCAAAGGGCTCAATATGACATTTGTTTCTATCTGGGACTATTTATTTGCAGTACCTTCCTAGTCTTTTGAGATGTAGTAGGAATGGAGTTTTACTTGGCTTAATTAGGGTTATACCCTATGATTACTAAAGCAATCCAACTTGTTCCTTTTTCTTAATTCTTACACAACACGAGAGACACGCTGCAATCCAATACATTGAACTATGATTGACTCAGCTCCAGGTGCCATTCTGACCAGGAGGCAATAATCCTCAAAAGACAGGAGACTGCAAATGAATACCAATAAAACCTACAAGAGTGAGTTTATTAGTATCATCGCACAGGAGAGCTCTGTCCAACTACATTGCTCCAGGTCTTGGAACATTCCTCTGTAAAATTCATGTTTTGGTATATTACGCTGAGTAATGACATCATTTTCCCACTTCAATAGCTCCCTCTTACAGACCAGCATTTTACGGTAATTATTTTTTAAAATTGGTGTTCGGAAGATTAATAATGTTTTCATAGACTGCTTCTCAAAATACGAAAGCATATGTCACAGACACAGAAATGGCAAAATGGCACACAGAAACAGAAATAATCAAGTTTAAATGGGGTGGAGGGAATGAAAGACGGTATCAGATGAAATGGCATTACTGTTAAGCATGTCACATGCTAAAAAGTCAGTATCTGTGGTTTTAGGTTTACAGAATACAGGATGCTATAGAAATATTTTTGTCTGTTGACAGATTGGTAGTTAAATGAAACTTACATAAATAGACAATTGCAACATAAGTCAGCTGTGACTGTCAAATAACTCAGTATTTGTTTTACACTACAGATCTAAAAAGAGACAAACAGATAAACTACACAGTTACATTATATGTTAAGCTTAAAATTATGCCAAATGAATTATCAAAAATACAGTGTCTCAAACCGTGTTCTGTACCGATACATAAATAATTGACCTAGAAATAAAAGCGTATTACCAGTCATTGAATGTCAACTTATAAAAGTACTGACAGAAAACAAACAAACAAGCAAAGGCATAAAAATATAAAAAATACCAGACTGGGACTTTGAGGCAGTAAATTCAGAGCATGTCTTTGGTGGGTTTGTGGTTTGTTGTGGGGTTTTTTTTTTAATCAACAAATACATTTCAGGGAATGAATGTTATCTCAGTCTTTTAGCATTCTTCTGAGAGTCTTGGGCAATTTGTTTGCACATGGAAAGTCTTCCTATTTTTTTTCTCATTCTTGTTTTTGGTTGATTGCCATATTGTCTCCTAGTCAATATTTTCAGCACGTAACAGATTATGCGAGTTAAGCAGAAGCTCACTGTCGCTTTTCCTCATGGCTCCTTTAATGCTCTCCTATGAACACAGTTTCTCTCTGTGATATCAGTAAATCTTCAGATAAATTTGAAAACCCCTAGATACCCCATAGTATTAGTATACTGATAAATACTTTTGCTATACCCATTTTTCACAAGGACTTCCCACTGACTTCAG